CTGGGAGGTGAGGGAAGGGGTTCACAAGTGGTCAAGAGCAGCTCCTTGAGAAACCAAGAGTCCAGCTGGGCCTCACGGGCCAGGCAGTCCTGCCTTGTCGAAAGCCCAGACCTGCGAGGATTCCGAAGAGATGCCGCCTGCGGAAGCCTTTCTTTCGGAGGTCTCAGAGTAACAGGCATGTGTGCACAGCCCCTGATCCTGCAGAGGCCTTTCCCATCCAGCGTCTGGAAGCCTCATCACACCCTTCGAGAAGCAGACCGCCACTTTGCAGATGGGAGACCTGAAACTTCGAGTCGCCCAGCGTTTCTAAGGCAGATCTGGAGTCTCCTGCTCTTCTGCCTCCACACCCAGAGTGGTGGCTCAGAGCGGAGCCTGTGCGTCCCATGCGCTCTCCAAGATCCCAGCCCCTGTGGTTCCCTTTCCTCTCCACCAGCATCGACTCCATGACGCCAGCCTGCCATAACCAGTCTAACTGTACGGTGCGGTCTGTAGGTGCGTGTGGGCCCACATCCCTTAAGCATCCGGCCCTGTCAGGCCTCTGGCCCCCAGAACTGACAGGACAGCTCTTCTCGAGGGTCCCCAAAGCACTCCATCTCCTGGCCTTTGTTACAGCATTGCCCTGGCCTGGGCCCCTCAGAGCCCTGCTCCAGCTGTCTAGACCTAGGTCAGAGTCCTGGCGAGAGCTCTGACTCTATCCTGTGGCCCCTCCGCCCCGCAGCCCCATCTCCTCTGGGACCGCCAGCTCCTCGCGGGTTCAACCAGCTGTGAGGACAGTGAGCTGCCCAGCATCTCCGTTTCTCCCCTGAGTGCCCAGGGTAGGAGGGAGCCTCCAGAGCAACAGGAGAGCTGGGAACGAGGGGAGTCTACCTGGCAAGAGGCTACTCTAAATGTAAGTCCACAGAAGTAGTCACGATGAACCTCAGGAGAGAAGAGGGAAGATCCTTGAAGGCTGTGTGGAGATGAACTGGCATCTTCAAATGCCTCAGTGCACAGGCTGTGCCTTCTACAAGGAATACCTTGCCTATCACCTGTCTTTAGTGTGCCAACTTGGCCTGTTGTGACCTCTTGTGTCTGCCCTTCAAATCTTCCCAGTTCTTAGCTAGCTGGTCATATGGCCACCAAAAATAAAGAATATATTTCTCAGTCTCCTTTGCCACAAATGAAGCCTTGACAATGGCTTATCAGTACTGTGTAAGTACTTACAAGCAACTTTCAGGAGTGTTCTTAAAGGGAGAGGGTTGCTGGAACTCTGGCACCTACCTTGCACCAGGAAGGAGCATGGGGTGGAGGCCATGCATCAAAATAGGAGGTCCCCCATCTCGGAGCAACAAGAGAGACCAGAAGGAGCCTGGGTGCCTGTCACTGCGGAGCATCCTGTGAGCTCTAGGCCTCCCACCACCAGATTTCTGCTTGAGTCAGAAATAAGCTTCTATCTTGTTTAAACTACTGTTATTTTTGTTTGTTGGTTTTGTGAGGATGGTGGTTGTTGCTTTTACTCAGAGTCAAATATAAACCTAACTGGAAAAGCCAGCAAACTCCTTGTCAGTCTAAAAAACCCAACTCAATTGTCACTTTTCTCAGGAAGCCTTCCTAATTCCCAGGTAAAATACACTTTTCCCAGACTTGATCATTCTGATTTTATTTTTGACCATACTTAGTCTTATTTATTTATTTTTTTATCCTCACCTGAGGACATTTTTGCATTTATCTTCAGATAGAGCAGGAGGGAGAGAGGGAGGAAGAGAGAGAGAAACATCGATGTGAGAGAGACACATCGGTGGTTGCCACCCACACGACCCCAACCAGGGCCGGAGACAAACCACAACCAAGGTACGTGCCCTTAGCAGGAACCGAACCCAGAACTCTCTGGTCCACAGGCCGACGCTCTAACCATTGAGCAAAACCGGCCAAGGCTCCTTAGTCTTATTTTTATCCCTCTGTATTATACTTTACCTATTTAGGTATCAGCTATACTGCTAGTTTGTGAAACTGTGAGCTCCTTCAGGTCAAGAAATAGCCATCTCAGAACTCCTGGGACACAGTGATAGTAGTGGTAGAGGGAGAGGAGGAGGGGAGAATTAGAACAATAAATAATATTTACTGAAGGCCTATGAGTTAGGCACTATTTTAAGAGTTTGCATATATTAACTCATTTAATCCTCATAAAAACTCTATGAGATAGGCATAAGCATTAATGTCATTTTACAGATAAGGAAACTAGGTACAGAAAGGTTAAGTAAATTGCCCAAGGTCACACAGCTAGAAATTGGCAGAACTGGAACTTAAATCCCAGGAATCTGACTCCAGAGTCTAAGCTTTTAGCTTGTCATTCTTTTTTTTTTTTTAAATCCGACATTTTTTTTTCATTTTTTGTTCAGATAGAGCAGGAGGGAGAGAGAGGAAGAGAGAGAAACATCGACGTGAAAGGGACACATCGACTGGCTGCCTCCTGCATGACCCAACCAGGGCCGGGGACAAACTGCCATCAAGGTACGTGCCCTTAGAGGGAACCGAACGCAGGTCTCTCTGGACCGCAGGCAGATGCTCTAACCGCTGAGCCAAACCAGCCAGGGCTAGCTTGTCATTCTTTTCATTGGGATTTTATTAGCTTGTCTTAGGAGTGCTTTCAAAATGGAATGTGGGGGAACCACGCAACTCCCTACTCCTTCCCCAGCAAGAATAAAATTGGAGCCCTGGCCGGTTTGGCTCAGCGGTTAGAGCGTCCGCCTGCGGTCCGGAGAGACCCGGGTTCGGTTCCCGCTAAGGGCATGTACCTCGGTTGCAGTTTGTCCCCGGCCCTGGTTGGTCGTGCGGGTGGCAGCCACTCGATGTGTCCCTTTCACATCGATGTTTCCCTCTCTCTCTCTTCCTGTCTCTCCCTCCTACTCTATCTGTACAAAAATGGAAAAATGTCCTCGGGTGAGGATAAAAAAAAAAAAAGAATAAAATTGGAGGAACATCTTTGCCAGTTGTCTGGCAACCATGGGCTCAGGGCCTGGCGGAGGTTAGAGGTCCCAGGGACTCAGAACCTAGGCATCTGCTAGGCCGCCTATTTGTTATCTGTGCTGTGTGACAAACGTGATTTACTACTTCTCACAGTTCTGTGGGTCCGCTGGGTGGAGCCTCTGCTCCATCTGGGATCAGGGTGCCTGGGTCCAGCCAGGAGCTCAGGGGGTGAACCATGGACAGAACCCCCACACGTGCCCGTGTGCGGCTCCTGAGCTCTCCCCGCCGGGCCAGTCCTCCATGTCCTCCTCAGCACTCTAGTCAGCTCCTCCTCCTTTCCTGGCAGTCGGCTTACAACAGAGAGAGAGGCAGCAGAAGGCCTGGGCCATGTAAGGTGAGACCTCGAACTGGCCGAGTCACTCCTGCCATATTCTCTTCATCAGAGGAAGTCCCAAGGCCAGTAGAGATTCAAGGGGAGGGAAACAGGTCCTCCTGCTGCATGATATAGGTTCAGGCAGGGAGAAATTGTTGGCAACCACCTTTGGAGAAAATGTGCCGTCCTACCTCACGGGGTTTTAGGAAGGAGTCCCCAAATGGCACCTGGACATATTGGTGCAGGACAAACAAGATTTCCTTGATTCAGACAGACTGGGTTCCGTCCTGCCTGGGCCACATTCTAGCTACGTGACCCTGGGAAGGTGGCCACCCCACCCTTGAACCTCTACGGCTCAGGGACACTGACGGACCTCTCACAGGTATCGTGAGGATTCGGGGGAGTGAGGATGGGACAGCTCTGGGAGGGGAAATGGCTCTCCCATCACACCCTCAGTACATGTTGACATGGTTTGGGAACCCCGGTAGTCAGGTTCCAAAGGTCATGACCCCGCAGAAGCTTCAGAAATGGGTTCCTGAGTGTAGTGCTAGGAATGGCTCTGGCACCCAAGTTCTAACTATCGTTACTCTGGGGAACACTGGTAAGGTAGGTCTGCGGGTCCACGTGAGGAGGAGCAAAAGCCCACTGAGCAGGTCAGAATAGGGCAGGGAGGTGGAGCTGGAGCACAGGGGATGGACTGAGCACGCAGGCTTGGCCCCTGAATAGATGGGCCAGATAAAAGAGTCAGGTTGACCTTCCCTGTCTCGGTTGGTCTGAGCTGCTATAAAAAAGTATCATAGACCGAGGAACTTAAAAACAACAGCAATTTATTTCTCACAGTTTTGGAGGCTGAAAGTCTGAGATCAGGGTACCAGCGTGGTGGGGCTCCGGTGAGGGCCTTCTTCTGGGCTGCAGACTGTCACCTTGTTGTATCCCCACGTGGCAGAAGGAGAGAGAGCTCTCTGGGCCTATTTCCGAAGGACACTAATCCCATTCATGGGCTCCACCTCCATGACACAATTACCCCCAAAGTCTCCGCCTCCTACTACTATCACAGTGTCACAGTGGGGGTGTGGGGGTGGATTTCAACCTATGAATTTTGAGGGGACGCGGACATTCAGCCCACTGCAATCCCTCACAGCTTTTCAAACATCAGTGGTCCCTGTTGCGCACTTAGAGGACCCAAGCTCTTGAGCCTGGCATTCAGGGTTTGCCACCATCAGACTCGATTCTCACACTGCTCTCCATGTACTGGCCACACTGGGTGACATTCCCCAAACACACTCTGTGGTAGTTCACCTCTGTGCCTGTGCCTGCTTCATCTGCCTGCGATGCCTTCTTACAGTCCTCAAGATTCAGCTCTGCATTACTCCGCTGTGATGCAGTCCCTGGCCTCTCAGCTCAAAATTCGTTTTCCTCCTCCACTTTGCGCAGACCTCCTGCAGAGCCCTTATCACCTACAATCTGCAGTCGATCAGCTGCATGCACGTCTGCACCTGCCATCAATTGCCACAATAATGCCACATATCAACCCGACCTCAGTGGCAAATTTTATTTAGCTTACAAGTTTGTGGGGTTCCGCTGATCGGGGCGGCAGCCTCTCACCAGGATGACAGGGGTGACTTGGCTCAGGCTCACATGCCTAGTCATTCAGCAAGCTGGCTGGCATGTTCTCATGACAATGGCAGAAGAAAAAGAGCAGAAAGGGAAACGTGTAAGTACTTTGTCAGGCTTCTGCTTGCTCGAGGTCTGCTAACATCCTATCAGCCAAAGTAAATCGTGGAGCTGAGCCCAGAGCCAAGGACTGGGCAGAACTTTCTACTCCAGGTAGGAGGGCATTACAGAGCTACTGAAAAAGAATGTGGATTCAGAAAGGGATGAAGAATGGTGGGGTCGTGATGCTGTTGATCTTCCACAACACGCATCTTCTTCACTAGGCCATGTGTTCATCCCTCAATGGCTGAATCATCTTCTCTGGGCTAAAAGTTCTGTCCCAGGATGGTTGGATTCGGGTAGGAGAAGAAGGGCCAGGGAACTCACCCAGTCCTATCTCTGTGACCTGGAGAAAAAAAACATGAATTTCCATCCAAAGTCTCAGTTTTCTAATTTGTGGAAAAAGGAAGAGGGAATCCTGCTCTCCTGTGATGCAGAACTAGGGGGAATAACGTATCTCTGAGCTCTGCCCAGTTTCCTTATCTGTAAGATGGAGACACTGTGGGTCCACCCTATAGGTCCCACAAGGATGGGGCAATGAGCCAGAGTCAACATCAAGGGCCTGAGGACACTGCTGAACACACAGCGAGTGCAGGCCTTCCGGAGGAGTCGGCCCCTGTTACGCACTCACAATGCCTCATTCTTTTCCTTGTGAGCACCTGTTGGTCGTTGTGATGCGATACTGCTGAGTGCGGCTGTTTGTTTAAGGTCTCTGTCCCTGCTGCGGGCTGGAAGCTCCAGGGGGCAGGCGCCGTGCTCAGCGCTGCGCCCCCAGTACTGGACACGAGGGTGCTCGTGAAGTATTTGTGACACAAGTGTTTGCATGAAAGGTCTGATGGATGAGAGGAAGGATGGGGGGCAGACACGGATGAGGCTCGGGTTGGAGTTTTGGCAGGGGTAAAAGAGGCTTCATTATCTTTGGCCAGCGCGGCCTATGTCAAGGCCCACTGCCAAGTCTAATTTTTTTCCATCCACAAATCCTAAATTGACAGGGAACCTGCTCCAGCCACTCCCAGATTCCGTTCCGGAATTGATCACGGAGGGCAGCAGCCCACTCTGCATTCCCAGTCCGTGGAGCCCTGAGGCCTCGGGTCTCCCCCAGTGGGAGTCGGTCGCCTAACCAAAACCACTGTACATTCCCCCTGCCTCTCACAATCGCCAGGGAGCTAACTTGGCTGCTATTCCCATTTCATAGAGGAGGAAATTGAGGTTGCTAAGTGACCAAGCAAATCAGTTCTGCACCCCACAGAAATAGCCAGTGAATAGACCGTGAGCAGAACCGAAGTGTGGAGACCCGCTGCCTCCTGAGCCTTCATTTCACGCTAGGAGGCCGGCAGAGATGGTCTCCGCCTCGGTATCTGCCCTTCAGAGTCATGTCAGCCACACAAAAATTAATTCAAAATGGATTAAAGACTTGAACATAATACCAGAAACCATAAAATAAGCAGCAAGCTCCTTGACATTGGTCTTAATGTTCCTGTGGATTTGACTCCAATGACAGTGGAAACAAAAGCAAAAATAAACAAATGGGACTACATCAAACTGAAAAGCTTCTGCACAGGCCCTGGCTGGTTTGGCTCAGTGGTTAGAGGGTCGGCCCGCAGACCTATGAGTCATGGGTTCGATTCCAGTCAAGGGCACGTACCTCGGTTGCAGTTCGTCCCCAGGCCTGGTCGTGCGAGAGGCAGCCAGTCGATGTGTCTCTCTCATATCAGTCTCTCTCTCTCTCTCTCTCTCTCTCTCCCCCCCTTCCCTCCCTCCTTCCCACACTATTTGAAGATAAATGGAAAAATATCCTCAGGTGAGGATAAAAATAAATAAATAATAAACAAATAAATAAAAAGCTTCTTCACAGAACAAGAAACCATCAGCAAAACAAGTATGTTCAATGCCCGGTTGGGGCATGTAGGAAAGCAACTGATCTGTGTTTCTCTCTCTCTAAAAATCAATAATCCTTGCATGAGGATTAAATTAATTAATTAATTAATTAATTAACGGCAAGCCACTGAATGAGAAAAGGTATTTGTAAATTATATATCTAATAAGGGGTTAATACCTAAAATATCTGAGAACTCATGCAACTCAACAACAACAAAACTACTGGATTAAAAAGTGGGCGGAGAATCCGAGCGGACATGTTTCCAGAGCAGACACGTTTCCAGAGCAGACCTGCAGATGGGCAACCGGCGCCTGAGAAGATGCTCAACATCACTAGTCATCTCGGAAATGCAAATAAAGCCACAGTGAGCTATCACCTCACACCTGTTAGAATGGCCATTATAAGAAAAACATGAAATAACAAGCATTGAAGAGTATGTGGAGAAAAGGGAAACCTGGTGGGAATGGAAATTGGTATAGTCATTATGGAAAATAGTATGGAGATTCCTCAGAAAATTAAGAATTGAACTACGATACGATCCAATAATTTCCCTTCTGGGTATGTATTTGAAGAAAATGAAAACACTTGAAAAGATACATGCACCCCTATGTTCACTGCAGCATTATTTACAATAGCCAAGATATGGAAACAACCAGGTGTCCATCAATATGGACAAAGAAAATGTGGTATATATACACAATGGAATATTACTCAGACATAAAAAAGATAAAATCTTGCCATTTGGGACAACATGGGTGGACCTTAAGGGAATTATGCTAAGTGAAATAAGTCAGATGGAGAAAGACAAGTACCATATGGCCTTACTCATGTGTGGACTCTAAAACAAAACAAAACAAAATGAAACTCATAGATGTAAACAACAGATTGATGGTTATCAGAAAGGAAGGAGTGTGGAGAGAGGGCAAAATGGGTAAAGGGGTCAATTATATGGCAATGAATGGAAACGATTTTTGGTGGTGAGCACAATGTAGTATATATTGTGGAATTAAAATGTTGTACACCTGAAACTTATATAATGTTATAAACCAATGTTACCTCAATTAAAAACAAAAAAGTCATGTAATCAACATTCAAAGTGCCTACCCCAGACCATCACTCAAGCCTAATGGTGCTATATTCATGAAGCTGGCTGACTAGTCATCCCCAGGGGGTACCTTGGGGTTTTTGGCCAACCACAGTGCTGATGGGCAGTTCTTATTTAGGTCTTGGATTATTTAGATATAGGATCGAGGATCTGATCAATGTCATTTGGGAATAACAATGGCTTGTCTCTGAGCCTCAGCCTGGCCCTTTTAGACATATCTTTGTCATCCCCACCCACCCACTTCCCGAGTGAGCCTCCTTGTTTCCATCAGGCAAGTGGGAATCCGAGGCTGGAGATATTAAATCGTTGGCTCAAAGTTACCCAGCGAGGCAGCGACAGAAGCTGGGGTATCTTAACTGGCAGTGACTTTGGGATCATTTTTCACCCATTTGTGCAAACTTAGTTGCTTGGTCTGCCCAAGAGAGGGGAAGGGCCCGTGGTCGTTCGAGTTCAATGGGATTATTCTTCTTCAAAGATTTGTCTGGCAGACATACAGTTTTCAAAGTCGTGGTCACATTAGGAGAAAGGTAGACTGGCTCCTTGGTGGACGGAAGTTCTCGTAGGAGCTCCAGTCTCCTCTCTAAAGGCCCCTGGCCTGTGCTCCCACGCTCTGAGGTCACTTTTCCATTCCGGCAGAGCGCACTGGACTTGGCCTCCCTGGGACCCCCAGACACTGTCCGGACCTGAGTGTTCTCCACAGAGCAGCGGCCTCCAACTTGCCTCTTGTTTTTTGAGGCCAGTTGCCTCTCTCCTCCCTGGGAGATCATATGTGTTCACGTAATGGAGCTGTGGTTTCCACTCGGGCTCTGAAGCCAAACTCCATTGAGTTTCAAATATCCCCAAGGCCTCCAAGGAGGAAGGCCATTGAGCATGTCTGGGGAAAGGGCTGCATCTGGTCTGCGTTAACCAGTAGCTGCCACTTGCCTCGAACCATGTCGAGGAGCAGGGCTGGATTGGGGGACCTCAAGGGAGGACCCTGTAGGAGAGGGCTCAGCTCCCTATAGCCTTCTTCCACCGGTCCCAGCCCTTCCCTTAGGAGCACAGGGTTGAGAAGGCCCTTCAGGATATTCAGGCCATATTTCTTATGGTGGAAGCTGAAGTGAGGTGGCACAGGCAGGACCAGGAGGCACCGGGGCCTCTGACTCCAGTCCAGACTTCTTTCCACTGCCCCGTGCCAGATGCTTAGAACCTGGCAAGTCCAGGGCAGGGCCTTCTCCCAGGAGGGGGACACTGTCCACGGCCTCCCTGTCTGTCCCTCATGCTGTCTCAAGATGGCACAGACAGACGGCTGCTGGCGGCCAGCCCAGGAGGAAGCAGACACTGGCACTAGAGGTTCACATGACTTCGAGATGAGGTGGGGAAAACACCAACATTGCAAGAAGAAATGATTCACAGAGGCACAAATTTCAAGCCAAGAACAGAAAGAGGGTTTCTCAAAACACATGCTTTTTGACCTGCAAAAGCTTCCTCCCACCACAGGCCCATCTTTGCACGTTGGGTTCAGCCCACACTGAGTGAGCTCCTGCCCCAAGCCTGGTCCTCCTCCCACCAGGCCTTGTGTCATGCCAGTGGACTCTCACCACAGTGCCAGTTCACAGAGGAGGGCACTGGGCCTGCCTTCTCTGAGCAAGGACCCTCTGCTGGGTTGGGGGGATCGAGCTACTTTTCTTCTCTTCTGAGCCTGAGCCAGGGCATCCGAGAGCCCCTCCTGGGGTGTGCTGGCCCTGCTGCCTATGCCCCTCCAGACCTGTGTCCTGGGGCTCCACCCGGGGTCCAGCTTGGTGAGGGACAGACAGCAGAACGGTTATGATCTGATTTTGTTTGTGTGCTTGTTCTTTGGCCCCGCAGAAGCCTTCACAGCAAAGTATTATATAAACAAGAAAGAAGGGGGGCATATTTTAAGAACAGAGTCTCCCATTTCCCCAAGTGCACCCCAAAAAGAAAGAAAGTGAGAGGAAGAAAGAAAGAGAAAGAGAGAATGAGAAAGGAAGAAAAGAAGGAAAGGAAGGGAGGAAAAGAATGAAGGAAGGAAAAATGAATGAAAACTTCCCCAAACTCGTGAAAAGCACAAAACAGAGACCAAGGGGATCAGTAAATCTTGACATTATGCAGTTTGCATGTTGGGAGTACAGAGTGAGTGAGCTCCCTGCTCCACCACGGGAAAGTTCTCAGGTCAGGTGACTCGTCCAACATTAGTTCTCTAAACTTTTGGGGTATGTATATGTTCCATTATGCTTCTAAAATTTTGAGAAAAGTGGGAAAGTAAATTGCCAATACTCTCACCATGATATTGCAATCAAATATGCACACACACACACATATACACACTCAGGCCTACACCACAATCATATATATGTACAGTATATTCCTTTTTCATTTGGCAACAGACCAACACACCAGTTATCGTTCTGTTATTGAATTCTAGTTTCATTTCTTTGTGATCTGAGAGCTTACTTTGTATGACTCCTATTCTTTCCAATGTGTTCAGGTAGTTTCTATGGCCCCGTATGTGGTCTAGGTTGGTGAATGTTCCATGTGAACTTGAGAAGAAAAGTGCATTTTGCTGTTGTTGGATGATGTATTCTATTGAAGTGTGTTTACTTCAGTTATGTTCTTACTGATTTCCTGCCTGGTGGATCTGTCAATTACGGGTAGAAGGGTATTGAAGTCTCCAAATAGTGGTTTTGTCTATTGCTCCCTGCAGTTCTATCAGAGTCTGGCCTTGGTGCTTGGCTGCTCTCTTGTTAACTGCACACACATTAAGGATTGATATAACTTCTTGGAGACTTCACCCCTTTATCATTATGTAATACCCCACTTCATCCCTGATAACTTCCCTTGTTTTGAAGTCTGCTTTTTCTTAAATTAGTGTAGCTTCTCCAGCTTTGTGATTAGTGTTAACATGGTTTATCTTTCTCCATCCCTTTAATCTATCTGTGTCTTTATTTTTACAGTAGGCTTCATATAGACAACAGATAGTTGAGTCTTGTTTTTTATTTCTCTGATAGTCTGTTTTTTAATTGGTGTATGTACACGATTCACATTTAAGGTGATTACTAATGTAGTTTGATTAATATCTATCATGTTTGTAACTATTTTTCATGTTACATTTTGTTCTGCCTTATCTGATTTTATGATCCCATTTTCTCCCCTCTGTTAGTATATCATTTACACTTCTTTTTAAAAAAATGTTAGTTGTTGCCCTGGAGTTTATAGTATATGTTTATAACTAATCTAAGTTTACTTTCAATAACACTATATTATTGTGGTACCTTATAGCAGAGTATTCCCAATGCCTCCTCCCCATGTCTTAAGACATTGCTGATATTCATTTCACTTATCCACATACTATAATCACCCAATACTTTATGTTATATTTTTGCTATAACTACTTTTAACAAACAGTTATCTATTAGATAAATTAAGAATAAGAAAAATTATTATTATTATTTTTTGTTAGTCCTCACCTAAAGATACCCTTTCTTTGATTTTTAGACAGAGTAAAAGGGAGGGAGGGAGATAGAAATATCAATGTGAGGAGAAACACATCAATTGGTTGCCTCCCACACAACCCCGACCAGGGCCAGGGATTGAACCTGCAACTCAGGCACATGCCCTTGACCAGAATTGAACCGCGACCCTTCAGTGCACAGACTGACACTAACTGCTGAGCCAAACCAGCCAGGGCAGAAAAATAAAATATTTTATTTTATCTTTATTATTCCTTCTCTGACACTTATCCTTTCTTTATATACATCCAAGTTCCTGACCTACATCATTTTCTTTCTCTCCAAAGAACTCCTTTTAACATTTCTTGGAAGGCAAGCCTACTGGTGACAAATTCTCTCAAATTTTGTCTGAGAAAGTCTTTATTTCTCTTTCACTTTTAAGTATGATTTTGCTGGACACAGAATTTTAGGTTGATGGTACTTTAATTTTAATACTTTAAAAATTTTATTCCAGCCCTAGCCAGTTTGCTCAGTGGTTAGAGCGTCGGCCCGCGGACCAGAGAGTCCCAGGTTCAGTTCCCGCTAAGGGCACATACCTCGGTTGTGGTTTGTCCCCAGCCCTGGTTGGGGTCATGTGGGTGGCAACCAGTTGATGTGTCTCTCTTACATCGATGTTTCTATCTCTCTCTTCCCCCCTCTCTTCCTCCCACTCTATCTGAAGATAAATACAAAAATGTTCTTGGGTGAAGATAAAAAAAAATTCATTTCACTCTCTTTGCATGGTTTCCGATGAGACATCTGATATAATTCTCAACCTTGTTGCTCGGTGGGTAAAATGTATTTTTCCTCTGGTTTCTTTCAAAATTTTCTTTGTCTTTGCTTTTCTGCAGTTTGAATATAATATGCGTAAGTATAGGTATTTTTCTATTTATTCTGCTCATTATTCTATGAGCTTCCTAGATCTATGGTTTGTCATCTGTCATTGATTTTGGAAAACTCCCAGCTGTTATTTCTTCTGCTTCTTTCTCTCTTTCTTCTTCCTCTAGTATTCCCACTAAACATGTGTTAAACTTTTTGTAATCGTCCCACACTTCTTGAATATTCTGTTCCTTTTTTTTTATTTTTCATTCTTTTTCTCTTTGTATTTCAGTTTAGGAAGTTTCTACTGATATATGTCTATGCTCGCTGATTCTTTACTTGGCCATGTCCAGTCTACTGATGAACCCATCAAAGGCATTCTTCATTTTTGTTACAGTGTTTTTTGTTTTGTTTTTATCCTCACCCGAGGACATTTTTTCCATTTTTTTGTTCAGGTAGAGTGAGAGGAAGAGAGAGAGAGAAACATCAACGTGAAAGGGACACATCGAGTGGCTGCCACCCACACGACCAACCAGGGCCAGGGACAAACTACAACCGAGGTACATGCCCTTAGCGGGAACCGAACCCGGGTCTCTCCGGACCGCAGGCCGACGCTCTAACCGCTGAGCCAAACCGGCCAGGGCTACAGTGTTTTTTGTTTTGTTTTTTATTTCTCACATTTTCTTTTGGTTGTTTCTTAGAGTTTCCATCTCTCTGTGTGTTTTTGCATGTTATCAATGGTGCCATAGGCTTCAGTTACCTAGAATTTCCCTGTTGGTTATTTTCCTCCCCTGTTATCTTTGGGTTTCCCTAAGAACTCGTTCTTAAAAAGGGTCTGTGTCTTGCAGCTCTTTTAGTTGTAATCCACTGTTATTATACTGAAGACCTGCTATTGGCGGTAAGATGTTGGGGAGGGGAGGTGTTCTACACTCAGCATTAAACCTCGGAGTTTTAGTTGGCCTGAGTCTCTGGAGTGTGACCTGAAGCACGTCTTAGCACTTTTATTCTTCCATCAAATGAGACAGGGAGGGGTGGCAGGCACCAGGTCCAGCTACGAAGGTGGCAAGAAGAAGCCCCTGAAGCAGGCCGAGCAGGTGGACGAGGAAGAGAAGACATTCGAGCAGAAGCAGAAGGAGGAGCCGAAGAAACCTGAGCCAAAAGCGAGGCGCCCCCGGGCCACAGGTGGAATGAAGAAATCTGGCAAAAAGTGAGCCATTCCTTATGCCTGGAGCGGTGGGGATCCTTAATTCCATTCCTGTTTTTAACATCTGGATTCCCTGGCGTAACATCTCTTGCCACCCATAGCTAGAATGAAGTGTTGTCTTGGAGCCTGTTGTACATTTAAGAATAAACTTTTGTAAAAAACTAATAGTAATAATAATAATCATGCAGTGGCTCATCTCTTCAGGTCTTCTCGCCCTGCCTTTCAACCTCAGCTGTGCGGCCGGAGCGCACCCAGCCCGCATCCTGCCCAGTGTGTCTTCTGTCCTTGTTCTATTCAGAATTCTGTACCACCTGGAATTAAACCAACTCATTTGAAATGGCAAAACAAACCAAAAAAAAGTGAGACAGGAAGCCTAGAGAGGGCTGGAGGTGCCTAATTGCACTGTCCCAGGTTGGACAAGTTTCCAAAGTAGTTTCTCCTGAAGGGTAGGCCGTGTCATGGAGAAAGCTCTGAGCATATTTCTAAATGCTTGAGTTTCCTCTCTTCCTACCAAAATAGAGGGGGTTTCTCTCCAATCTGCACCATGTGAACCTGGTGGGGTTCCTGGGGATAAAACACATGAAAGTATGGGGAGCTTGAGCCTGGGCCCCCAGAAGCTTTTAACTTTCAAGCTAGTCTACATTCAGCTTCCAGAAGTTTATCAAAATTGCCATGTTTATGGCATGGATCGTAATGATGGTTTCCCAGGTGTAAGCTTACATGCAACCTCATCAAGTTGTAAGCATTAAATATGTACAACTTTTTTGGTGTGTCAACCATACTTTAATAACGTAGTTTTTAAAAATCACCATTTCAGCCCTGGCTGATTTGGCTCAGCGGTTAGAGTGTCGGTCTGCGGATCAGAGAGACTGGGGTTCGGTTCCCGCTAAGGGCACGTACCTCGGTTGCAGTTTGTCCCCGGCCCCAGCTGGGGTTGTGTGGGTGGCAACCAGTCGATGTGTCTCTCTCACATCAATGTTTCTCTCTCTCTCTTCCTCCCTCTTTCCCTCCTGCTCTATCTGAAGATAAATGCAAAAACCTCCTTCGGTGAGGATAAAAATAAAAAATAAAAAATCGCCCTGGCCGGTTTGGCTCAGCGGTTAGAGCGTCGGCCTGCGGTCCTGAGAGACCCGGGTTCGGTTCCCGCTAAGGGCATGTACCTCGGTTGCAGTTTGTCCCCGACCCTGGTCGGTTGTGCGGGTGGCAGCCACTCGATGTGTCCCTTTCACGTCGATGTTTCTCTCCCTCTCTCTGTTCCTCTCTCTCCCTCCCACTCTACCTGAACAAAAAATGGAAAAATGTCCTCCGGTGAGGATAAAAAAAAAAAAATAAAAAATCACCCTTTATGTGTTCCTAACAATAGCTGATTCTGGAGGCTTCTGCTTCAGGTAAGATGATCTTGGCTATGATTCTCTGTATCTGCCCAATTCTCCAGATTTCAGAATGGATCTTTACCCTGTGACATTAATTGTCTGATGGATCTAACAAAAGGTATTGACTTTCAGTTTATTCAGTTTTTTCTTGTTGTTAGTGTGGGGTGACATCTTCCAAGATCTTTATGCACCAGAGCTGAAAACAGAGTCCTCCCTTATGGGTTTTTTGTTGTTGTTGTTGTTGTTGTTTTAATCCTCACTGGAGGATATTTTCACATTAATCTTCAGATAGAGATAGAGGGAGAGAAGGAGGAAGAGAGAGAGAGAGAGACACCGATGTGAGAGAGACACATCGACTGGCTGCCACCTGCACGACCCCACCAGGGCGTGGACGAACCATAACTGAGGTACGTGTCCTTGACCAAAATCGAACCCGGGACTCTTTGGTCCATGGGCGACACTCTTACCGCTGAGCCATACTGGCCAGGGCTCTTGCAGGGGGTTTTAACACATCTGACAAAGGCCTGCCTCCCAGTCATGTGACAGAGGGATGGGCAAACTTTGTTGGGGGATCAAGGCCAGGGGCAGCTAGACCCACTACAGCTCCACTCAGCAAACCTTCCCTCCAACCTGCAAGAAGGAAGCATCATCCAAAGGAAACCGAGGCCCTAGGGAAAGAGCCACGAACCATGTCCCTAGGAGCCTCCCCACGCCCCTGCCAGCTCTGGCCGTCTAGATCCCCCTGTCTCCTCAGGGACAGGGTTGGGTTGTAGCGGAGGCCAAAGCATGGGATCATGTGAAGTGGGTGTGGGACAGAGGTCAGGCTGGCCAGGCAGACCCACAAAAAACTTGCTCTACCCTTAAATAATTGTGTCCTTGGGCTGGTCAGAAAATACTAGTACTTTCTTGGCACACCTGTGGAGAGAAGGAAAATGCCTGGCACTGAGCCTGGCATGTCACAGGTATCATGCAGGTAACATTTCTTCTTTCCCCCACCGAAGCCCCCGTCACCTTGGGGATCCAATTCAGCCGCCCCGCCTTGACATCAAGGCTTCACAGGTCGAGACTACCTCTCTATCCTGCCCCGCCCCAGGGCTACCCGGAGGGGGAAAGAAGGGAGGCTAATGTGAATGAGTTATGTGCCAAACACTGTTTTAGGTACTTTATGTCTATTCACTGATTTAATCAGCCCCCCAAAATGTGTAATCTAGGACATATTACCTTATTTTACAGAAAAGGAAAATTGAGGCACCAAGAAGTTTACAAGAATCGGTCAATAAATGGCAGACCCTGAGTTTGAGCCCAGAGCCCACATTCTAGGAAGAGGGTGTAGAAAGCAATGATCCTTGAATCCTTGACCTTGGGGAAAGAGGACATGGCAAAGGGACAGTCCCTTCCACTCTATTAGTGTGGCTGTGAGTTTTAAGGACTAAAAGCTCCCTCCAGTGCCCTTGGGCTCCAGGGTTTACTGAGGGGATGTTTGTGCCAACGTGGGAGCCGGAGCCCCAGCCCCAAGGAAGCTGGGCTGAGGCTGGTGCAGATCTCAGATCTCATGACCTTCCCCTCGGGGGCAAGAAGAGGCTGGGGGATGTATGTGCTTGCGTGCCCCACCCCATGCTTCTCAAACTTGGAAGTGCACATGATCTTGTTAAAATCCATATTCGGTCTCAGTTGGCCTGGGTGGGGTCCACGATCCTGAATTTCTAATAGGCTCCTGAGTAATGTGGATGCTGCTGGTCCAGGGACTATGTTTGGAGAAACAAGTCTACAGGGCCCTGCATCTCTCAGGTCCAGCTTCTTTTGTTCTCTTCTTTTTTTTTTCTGACTCCAGCTGCCTGATTGCCTCTATACTCCCCACGTCTGGGGCGAGTCTTCCCCACCTCCACCTCTCAGCAGGCAGGGCAGCCTCTGAAGAGCATTTTTAAAAAGCTACCCAGGGAAAGGTCAGCTACGCACTCAGTAACCAGCGTGGGCCACATCTGAGTTGGGCCCACATTTCCCATCACCTCCAAGGTCTCGGAACGCTGGCTTCTGGCCAAAAAACAGCATTTACGTGACCTATGAAATGGAGAGATTATCACAGAACCTGCCCCCAGGGTGGGCGTGAGGATGTTAAGCAGAGAGCCTAGTACTCGGCACAGTAAGCACTACTCAAGCATTACCTCCCAGTTATTTCCGAATGGAGAACCAGCAGCTATGAGTTTGAAACTGACTTACAGATCTCTAAGTACAGGGGCCTCCAACTCGAATGTGCATCCAAATGGCCTGAGGGGCTTGTTAAAACACAGATCTCTGGACTCTTCCCCCAGGGTTTCTGATTTAGTAGGTCTGGGGTTGGAATCTGAGAATCTGCACTTATGACCAGTTCCCAGCTGATGCTAATGTTGATGCTACTGATCCAAGGACTGATTCTGAGAACTTCTGATGGAGGGAACTCTTCTTGCCTTTGCCCCACGCGGAGGAGCCTAGAGGTCAAGCGAGAGCCGCTAGTGCTAGGTCAGGGCACAGTGAGAGCCGGAGCCTTTCCAGCAGCCCAAGTTCCAAGGACACCAGAGAGGGGCCTCTGTAGGCCTCTCCTCCAGGCTTGCTCCCTCATGCCTGGCCCAGAGCCCCAGCCCTCAGAAGGCCCCTCCACCCAGCTTTGTTTGCATTCCTGGAGCCTGCGTCAGCCTGGGCAGCAGGCATGTCTATGCGGGCAGGCCTGGCGCGGTCCTGCTGGCGGGCCCTGCGCTCCAGGCCTCCTGGGCTCGGGGCCACAGTGGCCACGCAGAGCTCACTTAGCAGGCTGGTGACTCACACTTCCTCCAGGATTCCGGGAAATGCTTTCCTGCTGCTGTTGCTGCTGCTTTTTTCTTGTTTAATGAGAAGTTCTCTGCAGACTTCCATGGCAACCTCAGGATGAGGAGGCAGGAGGAGAAGGTGGACAAATCCATTCCCAAGAGGGGCCCCCTAAATTCCCATCTCTCACACATTCACACGCACACTTGCACACATACCTCCAACCTCTTGCCAGCCTCAGCCTGAGCCCCCAACCCACCACGGAGCTTTGGTCCAGGAGGGCCAGCCCCAGAAATGCTTGCTTTTATTAAAAAGGAATGGCCTCACAAAGGCACGACTGTAGGAAAGGTTGTAATTTGCCCAAATAAAACTTAATTTGATCCATGAAATAGCTGTGGTTTATTGTGTAATAGATGTGCTATGTGTTTCAATTTAATAGAAGCCAATATAATAGGGGGCCAGCTGGGGCCTCCAGAGGCCGGCCTCTTTCCCACCATGCATAGTAGGGCCACACAACCTGCCTTCTTGGTGGGACCCTCCGCCAGGACAGAACAGTGAAGGGCTGGCCACAGACTCCTGGCCCACACCATGGAGGCTCCTGGGAGAGAGAGCCCAGGCACAGACAAGTAAGAGTGCTTAAAGGGGGGAAAAGGAAAGAAATGAAAACCACCCTTTTTCCAAAGCAAGGCTGTGAGTGTGTGAGTCTGAGGAGGGGGCTGTGGGGGCTGAGTCACTTTCCTGTCCCCTGCTGGAGTGGGAGGGCCCCTACCAGGGGCTGTAGGAGAAAGAAGGATGGGTCTGTCACCTGAATGTGTTGGGAGGGACCCTCTGGAGAAGCCTTCAGGGACAATGCCTG